CAGCCCTTTAAAAGCATGCCACTGTACCAGGATAGCTGAAGTGAATAGATAAGGATTCCATCCAGTCTCGTACTGTCACACAGTGTATCACAGTAAAGTAATGAGCACAGTACCACCAGACTCAGCTTTCACCAGCCAGCAGCCTTCTGGTTCCCTAATATTTGCACAGACATACATCAGGGTCAATAATGAAAAGCACAGATAGGTGGCTTGAGGAAACGACCAGATAATAACACATTACATATGAGCAGCACTGGGATTCCAGGTGTTAAGACTGCTATGGCATGAAAATGAAAATTATTGATTAAAGGAAATAATTCTAATATACCACCTAGGCTTGTTGAATTACCCTACATAGCATATAATGAAGCTATGTTTTGAATATTATATAACATAATCAAATATATCTCCAATGTAAATGGGGTCATCCAGACCTCATCAGAAATGGGTCAGTGTTCTGCCACTGCCTGTAAGTCACACTGCCTGTAAGCTACTGCCTGTAAGTTAAATGTCCAGGATGCCCTGTCCACAAGATAATTTTATAGTATGTTTAAAAGTTTTAAACTACTGAAGCAGAAATGGAATATATTTTTAATGACAACATGCTGTTTCACAAACTAATTTCATACAGAACACATGGCAGCAGAAAATTTTATGTTGACTGCTCCTCCTTTTACGAAAACATTGTCACTGACCTAGTCCTTGTAAAGTGATCTTCCGTGATGACTTAGTATTTTGCTGGAAGTCATAAGATAACAGAATGAAATAATGGTCATTTTTGTGTGTCTGATCATCACACCACATTATAAGGAATTCCTGATCTGATTACTTTTGGTTTTGATAAATGCCTTGCTATAAGTATTTACCAGTCAGATTTTCTTTTAAATAATATTCACGAAGAAAAACACAAGATTTAATTTTGAAATGGAAAATGGAGTAGTGAAAGAAGGCTGGGAGGAAAGCATGATACACCTGAATTTTACATATTTAACATACAAAAAACAGAAAATTAAGAATCAACCTGAAAGAAAACTTCTGTTCATCAGGAGATGAATGGGTTTATCAAGCTGTACCATTACTCTCCTGGTGTTTCAAGTACCAATTACCAGATGTTAACAGTAAATGAAATTCCCATAATCTGACAAGGCATGCCACATTTTCTTGTTGATGACTCACTGTGTTTTGCTCAGCTGTTTATTCTGTCTTTTGCACCTACAGCTCTTTAAGGTTTCTTGCCAGAGCAGAAGTTCACCTTATCTTACAAGTTCTCATAACATCCTTTTCATTGATATACAGCAATTAAAGTAACTTTATCAGTCCAGGTTTCCTATTTTTGTGTTGCATGTGAATTGCCCTTCTCAGTCATGCAATTAGGCATTCACTTTCACAGCCTTATCCTTCATCTCTTCCAGTAAAACCCCTGGGAATCAGAAGACTATACCATAGTAACAGCTTTCAATAAACAACAAAACACATAGAAGAGTAAAGGACTTAATGCTATAATGGACAGGATTCAGGCTTCTTTAGCCAAGTGACAAGGCTGTAGAAAGCTAATTAATTTTCATGTAGCCAGGGAGCTTACAACAGGTAATTTTAAAACACAATTAAATCTTTTTCTCAAAACTCAATTTTAATGTGACAAGACTTTGGTTAATTTGTTTTCTGGTCTAGGGATCTTCAGGTGAAAAGGAAGTACTGAGGGCATTACATACTTCAATTATTTCCCTTATTTTCAGAGCTAATACATATTCTTGCCTAGTGCCAGACAGAATATTTCAGTTGGTGGTACTTATATTTAGCTAAGTGAGAACCATTAATCACCATTTCCTGACAGTATCCTAAAAAAATGCCAAAGTACTTCTATTTAAATTTCATTCACTCAGTCACTTTAAAAAGATTTTATTTCTATATGATCTCAGTGTGGGGATTTGAACTGATGGGTGATTTACGAAATAAGTTCCCACAAATACAGTTCATTACAGCAATTTAATAGATTCCTACACATTAGACCAAAATATATGTAATCTAGTAATGTATGTCATACTTCGAAAGGCTAATTGATCATAAAAGCAACCTCCTGTTTATGTAGCTAAAGAACACCTGTTTGTAGAAAGGACAAGTCACGTTCAATCGATACTGTGTAGATTGTATTTTATCTTTGATCCTTTCCATTAAAATTAATTTCTCTGGGACATATTTTAATAAACTCACTGGATAGTTAATTGTCCATAATTTCTTAAATTGAAAAAAAACCTGGCTATTTTCCAAAGCTCCTCCATTACAGATTTTATAGGACTACAGGTGTCAGCCTTAACCTCTTTTGCTAGATTTTTGATGAAAGTAAGTGAGGCTCAGATATTGCAGGATACAGTGACCACAACACAGTGCAGATCTGAATCTCTGCATACAGATAATAGGCAGCCTCTTCCAGAATTTGCATACTAATACAAAGCCTGCCACTGCTCCTCATCCCAGTTCAATTACTCCTCTCTACTGCTCACACCTGGTCTGCTTCACTGCACTCCAGCAAGGCACTTGCATTCCGAACAACACCCACTTTTCTCATGACTTCCTACTGACTGTTGTGCCTTCTCTTGTAAGGTCAACAACTTTTCTCCTCCAGTCTATGTAGGTGCTAACAGAGGGAATTAAAAGCTACTTGCCACACTCTCATGTTTTGCACTTCCAAGAGAAGATAAACAATGGCATCTGCAGGGAGATTTCTGTCTAGCCTCAGGTATCGAAAGCTGAAATATGCTCAAAAAAAACCTTGTGCTGTTCAATAAAGTAGCTATCAGTGTTTCATAAACTCCACTGTACATTGGAGAAGTGCAAGAAGGGCATCCCTGTTTAATGGCAGGACCCAACTCAGATATCCTCCAAGCCCTGGCTGCAGCGTTTGGACAGGTCTAAGAATGTAATGTGCCCAAAATATCCCATGCTTTTCTTATTATTTTTTTAAAGAAATGGAAGAAATTATTTTCTGCAATTTTCTAACAACTCTTCAACCAGTGGAAAAAAAGTGTTACAGTCTAATTATTTGTCAAGTGCTTAATGTGAGTAACTGAAAGGGGAGCCACATGTTGGACAACCCTAAGTACTAGCAATGTACATATATATGTCAATTCTCCTTCCTAAATGAAAAGTTTTGTTAATGAGCTTTCATATTTGAACATTTCTTCTAATAAAAGACTAACATATATAGTCATGAATGGCAGTAACTATTTTTTTGGGTGTAGAAGTTTTCTTCTCTGATAGTAACATTCTAGATAGGTTAGATTATATATACACAATGTATTGAATATTTTAAAAGAAATAAATATTTTTGTTTATGAAGTTGGTAGAACTGATCTAACTGCTCATTCATCATTACATTATTCTTGTGTACCAACTAGCTCCAGGCTTCTGGAAGTGACTATTATTTGGCTGTGAGAATCTAACAGTAATTAGTCTGTCATGTGTAGGTTGTCTTTACACAACACTCTATGAGGACCTTTTATACCACTGAGATGATTTTGACAAAATCTATTTTCAGTTCACTGAACTGAGAGTGCATTTGTCTAAGTCATTTTCCTATTTCCTAGGCTCTGCATCTGCTTCAACAAGCTTTGTGTTTGCTACTGCTAAGACTATATTCCAGAGATGAAGATTTCACTGAGGACGCTGCAAAGATTAATAGTTGCTTTTAACAATTTGAGGGTTCTGCTATCTGAAATAAAACCCAAACACAACACAACCCCACAACTTTTCAATACTCGGTGGTCAATTAAGGAAGCATTTAGCTGGTTAAATGAATGGACTAGTCAGAATATCCGCTTTTCAGGGTACATAGTGTCATTATTTACTGTCATGGAACACTATTCCCTTTAAAAATCTTTGAAAACTGCCATTTAATGAAGTGGAAGCCCCTCTCTTTCTCACATTGAAGAATATATTCCATAAACCAAAGAGTCTGTTGCATTTTGCTTATTAAACTAATGTCTGTTCATCTCTTTCTCCCTTCCAGCCATGCAGCAGTCCCTCAGTCGATGCACTGCTGTTGCCTAGTTATCAGAAGTCCAGTTCTGTTGCCATCAAGAGAACATTAGTTTCCCCATTGATTTCAGTGAAGACAGATTAGTTCCAGGTAGCAGACAGATAAACTGAAAAAGAAGTTCTTACAGATTTTCTGCTGCAAAGATGTTGCTTTCTTTAAGGCCTTTAGAGCTGCTTCTGTCTTCAGGCTAACAGCACTCAGTACAGTAGGTAAGAAGACTGACACAATATTGTATTAACTCATGGCTTCTGTCTAAGAAACTTGTAACACAAATGTTTGAAATTTAACTGCTTTAAAGATACTGCTTCTATGCATGTAGGAAGTGGGGTGCTTCTTCTCCAGCTTAACTCAAAGAAAAAAAATCATAATTTATATACTGTTGGGCAGAGCTTAGGAAAACCCTGACCACAGCTGGCAGCACAATAATCACAGTTCTCAGCAGTCTGACAAGGACTTCTGACATGTGGAGCAAAGCCCATAGGGACCTGACCACTGACTTCAATGGCAAGATCCCTGTCAGCTTCAGTTAACTTCACTGCTTGCACTGTTTGTCTCTCATAGCATTCTGATTTTATCAGCACATTCCTATCACACACCTGAACTCACAGAACAGGCATTTAAGCCTGCATTGACCCAACCTGGCATGTCCCCATATCCCAGCATAGTGCTGTACAGGTTAGCACAGACCCTGAAACAGTATGAGCAGAATACTGAAGTACTAATTAATCACCCTTCCCCCTTAGCAAGACTAATTGCCTCAGGCTTGATGCCTTGTTGACACGACTGTTCTGTGTCTGCTTTCCAGTAACTTCAGCATTCTGCATGGTAGCAGGCAACTACAGACACATCTTACATCCATCATCCTTTACTAAGGTACTCCTGCTTCTCCAGCACTGAAAGGCAAATACACTTTTCAGAAGAAGGATGTTATTCTGGGAAATAGATAAAAGTCTCAATTTCATACCTCTCTGATAGCTGTACAAAACTCACTCTGCAGCACCTTCTTTAGAGACTGTAGCTTGTGTACTGGTACTTCTCCAGATTCTTGCAGTTTCTCCAGTAACTCAATTGCTCTTGCAACATCTGAGGGGGGAAAAAAGGGAATACAGATCAGTATAAACAGTGACTAATAAGTGACTAAAAGGGGCACACTGATGGTCATTTTAAATTTAAAATCCACTTTACCAACAGATACTTGTGCTATTAACCTTGTGCTATATCAGCTGCAACCAGGCAACAACGCTGTTGTTCAGAGATCCAAATCCCAAAGTATGGACTAACCATGCACGCACACATACAACAGACACACACACAGTGGTTCAGTCTTAATTGCAAACATTCACTGGAACAAAGATACCAGTTCAAAGTAGCCAATCCATATTAGCAGACTTAAATTATTTTACTTTCTGCATTAGAGAAAGTAGCACAGGAACTGTATGGTACTTACTTTCATAAAGTCTGAAAGAATGAAGCCAAGTCTTTATCTAAGCACTCACATGATGACAGCATCTAAGAAAAATATTTGATCTTCTTATAAATTGTCTAGGTTTGCAAAGACCTTATCTGCCACACAAAACCCATACAACCCACAGAAATACACAATATTTCTGGTGGCCTGAGTTTTCCTTAAGTACCTATGTGTTGTCAAGGGGCAAGTGTCTCTGATAAGCAGTCCAGAGGGCTTAAGCTTAAGTGAGTAGCCATATTGTGTGGCGGGTGGGAATCTGGTCCAGTTAAACAGTGCCCCCACCCCCACTCTCATAATATCTTTCCTTTTTAACACTAGCTCCTAATTTACAGTTACTACTACAATACGATCAAAAAAGCCCAAAACAAAATGGGCAACAAACCCATCACATGAAATGCCTAACAATCCTTTATAGCTGGGGACACAGGGGCACAAGAAATAGTGGCCAATCTCATGGAGGCTAGCCTAGTCAAGCAAGCGACATGCTAACTTAGGTGCAGGAGTGAGCTGAGCAATACATATCTTGGTCAGTCTTCAGTGTGATAGAGCTTAAATAGAGGGGTTTCTGCTCCTGTGTCATTTAACACTACCTTGAAGCTTTTCAGCTGGTATGGCTGAAACTGGCAAAGCTGTTGTCTTGATTGTGTGGTCATTCTCATATCTCCTAGTATCTTTTTCATAGGCACCAGAGCTATGAAAAAGTGTAACTATTGGCCTGTTACACCACTCTACTAAATACAGGTCTGTATCATAGTGATGAAATGAATGCGTAGTACTAAATGATAAAACAATACTTGAGGCATTTTAATATTGTGCTTTAACTGCACAAAGAAGAAATAAATACCCTCCCCTCAAGCACATAACTCCAAAATGACTACAATGGCTAGAAGCAACCTTATATAATTCTCCTTTCTGACGACAAAGATTGTACTGTTTGTGACTGGGAGATTATGCTAATTGAAACAGCTCTTGAAATTCTTGGCTTGTAGCTGAGCTATACTGACCAGATGTCTTATACAACAAAGCCATGAGAAGTTTTCTGGAAATAGAAAAGAGATGACAGTAGATAAACTGTAATAGGAATAAAAATATAATCACACATTTGCATTTATAAGAAAATAGTTCCTATCCAGCTGCATCAGTGTTAGGAAAACAGAAGACAACACCTCAGAAAATCTAAAATTTAATTAAAAGGGGCAGGCAACTGGTCAGCACAGTAGGTTGTGCCACAGTAGATTAACACCCAAATAATTATCATGTCTTTTTATAGGCATCTGCCAAAAGACAGCTCCAAGTATGAGAGGAAGCACAGAAGAAAGTAGGCAGTGTTTCTTTCAGAAGGATATTTCCACTTACTGGGGTGCAGTGTGCATGACAGAGCAGTTTCGGAACTCACGAACTTTCAGATGAAACTAACCCTAACCCTGTGTTCAAAGACTTCATCTGTGGTTTTGATTCATGCAGTGCTTCAACTGCTATTTGCTTTCCTTCTCCACTCCACACTACCTGCTGGTAGAGATATATCCAATATCATTCACAAGGGATCAGAGAGACAGAGAGCTGGGTGTGATGGGAAAGGGGTCTGGATTAGTGAAGCAGGTTTGTGAGCTGCATGTACAGAGACAACAACTGAAGCTTTATTTGCAAATGAAAAACAGAAGAAATTATGTAGAGGTGTACCAAGAAGGATCCCTCCACAGCACTTATTGAAGTAAGGAGATCTGAGAAATAAGGTAGCCATGGATATCAAGGAAAAGTAAGATTCTGGAAATAATATGACTGATGGCAACTAATAAATTAAATAAGAAGAAGTAAGTACACTCTTTAGAAAGAACCATTTCAACAGAGTGCAAAAAGAATGTCAGTGCATTAAATAAAATATCATAGAAATGTTTAGGTTGGAAACCTATTATGGAAACCTAGTATGAAGCAACAAACATGATTTTTAATGTTCTCTGTAATAATAATGTCACAATGATTTTCTAAAAAGACTATCAAATCACTTACCTTGGATTTTTTTGTCTAAAGACTGTGTTGTCTCCTAAGACTTGCAGTTAGCTAAACAATAAACTCACACTCCCCAGTTATTAGTACAAGTTGGTGCAAACTGGTACGTCATACAGCACAAAGCATCAGGATGATTTATTCTGAAGAAGCTTCAACAGCCTACCTTAATAGATCAGATAAGGCCTCTGAAATTAATGTCATGCACATAGCTACTCAAATATTCTAAACTAGACTGGCATCTTTTCCTGACAGTTCACAGAAGTTCTGTCTTTCCCTCTGTCCAGCTATACCTGTAGAAGGTATAGCTTCTGTGCTACAGGTGACTTTCTGCAACTGCAACGAGTTTGCAGTTGCTCAGAAATTTCATCACCACACCTGAAGATTCTGTGCATCACCCACATTTGCTCTGGTCCTAAACTAATACTCAATGAAAATATTGTACTGCTTGAGAAATCTTCTGATTCAGAAAGCAACATAATTAGCTGTAGCTATATTAATCAATCTAACAGAATTAAGGACAGGTCTAAACATTTTCCTAGGGCATGGACCAGACTAAATCTTCATTAATCACTTCTAAAGTGATGAGTGTTGCAATACACATTATAAATTCATATTCTGGTTGAAAAGTCTGGCATGGGTGCTTAGTAAATAGTCTCATGAGCAAAAATGGGCACTAAATTGTTGCTTGCCAATACTAGATTACTTGGTAACTAAGAAGTGGTTGGGGGTAAATCAAAAGCACAATATCCCAAGAGCGTTCCCATTTTTCATACTTTCAAATTTACTGACAATGCTAAAATAAATGAATGCTGTTGCCCAAATTCTCGTTGTATTATTCACCTACCATATCTGTTAGCAGTAAGCAGACTTCTTTCTCTTGTCACAATTAAGCCTGTAGCTTGCTCGATCTGGCAATGACTTGTGGGATATTGCCCATAGAAGACAGAATACGGAAAAATAAAGCACTTCATGGGATAAAATTACAGAATGAAAATGAGGCATGTGTTCAGGGCCAAAGCTGTTTATTACCAGCTGATGCTTTTTCAGGAGCAAAATGTAACAGTTGGTACAAAACAGAATATTTTGAGCAGACTAAAAATGTATAAACATGAAACAGGCTGTATTTACTTCCATTAATAACTCTTAAGGGGAGACTTGTACAAACAATTGCCTTAGTAACCTTAGGACAGGTTAAAACATTAAAATTATCAGTGCACGAGTACTCACTTGAGGTGAGTTCCATCTAAAACTAAAGTAAATGCTTGCTCAAAGAAGTGATGTTACTGGTAATGAGGAAGACTACAAAGTTGGGGTGGGAAAAAAATACAGCAGTGAATCCATCCCTGTTGAAGTAAATGAGAATATTGTCATATGTTTGAGAAGAACTGGTATTCCTCTGCTGGGATCATTTTTTTGTTCCCAGTTCTCCTAACTAGCTTTGCCTGCAAACATTATTGCCAAGGAATTGTTCTGAAATACCATTTTCTTACATACTTATGGAAAGAGCAAGCTGATGAAAACAGTGTGTATTTATATAGATATACGTTAAAAAAAATCCTGGGATTATGTTACAAAAATTAAGTTCTATGTAAATAAAATACACTTGCTTTTTATTTCTGATTTGTCCTTCCTTTAAGCAAAGATATTTTTAGACACAACTTCTGAAAAGGATTGTCTTGCCTACTCTCAAACATTTTCCAAAATAAAAAATCCATTATACTAACATTAAACTCATGCTAATGTCATTGAAATCTATCTTCATCTTCCACATTCATATCCCACAGAAATTGGTGGGAAGTCTGAGTAACGAAGTGGGTTGAATCATTCCTGTATACTCTATGATGCATATACTTTAAAAGGGACATGCACTTATTTACCTCATTATACCCAATTCTAACCACATATTCTTTTTACAGTTTTTTTTCTGATTTCCTTATGCACATTTTCTTTCTCATTCTGCTTAATATTCTTTTGTCTTCTCATCACTGTGTTTGCCTACAGCCTTTCAGGAAATAACTGTTTCAGCATGGTGGGTCCTGTTGTCAGTGAAGCGCACAGAAGGCAGGGGACTCTGGTTGGGTGAAACACATTTTATCAAATGCACTCATCAAAAGAAAAGTATGATTTTCAGAAAAAAAACTTCAAGTGTTCTTGTTATTTTCATTTGCATGAAGTTTCATTTGCATTGCTAGTAAGAAGCAAGCAGGAGGTTACTATACATACCCTATGAAAGAGAGGAATCACCGGAACATAGAACTAGCAAGATACCATCTGTGATACAAGTGGAACATTCCCACGGTATACTAAACAAAGTTGAATCATGTATACATAGCACTATAACATAATGCAGTTAAAAAAAGGTCATCTGGCTTAGATATCACTTTGTTTTGTTATATATTGCTTTCACTTGTTGGGTTTCATTCAAATATCTAGCAATGCACAACAAAGACTGACCTGTTTGATTTGCTGGATGTTCTGAAAAACAAATGTAATTTCCAATACTTTGCAATTCAGCTTTTACAATCTGAAAGCAAATTGTGAATTCACAGACAAAATCCTGGCTGGTCTGAACTTAGCGCTCTCATATTACTGTTAAAATTGGGTAGAC